GTAATAATAGGTCACTTTTGTCACAGGAACACTTCAATACCCCCTAACTCCAAACAATGGGCATTAGGCATGAACTAAGCTGACTAATGTTCCCTTCATGCTTCACGGGGACAATGTTTCTTTCCTCTTCAAGATGTTCTTTCATCACTTACCCAGGAGCTGCCCTCCCCTGGCCTGAACTACTACAATTAAACCAGTGTTCAGCTGCACAGCGTGAAGGTGGGTTTATAGCATGCAGGTGCTTTATGGTTTTTAAATGGCCAGAAAGCATAATCATACTATAAACTCAAGAGCATTCTCCCTGGCTTCCAAGTAGCTTTTTTAAAAAAAATGTGGGGTGGAGGATATGAAAACCTTTTGCCTCTTAGACTCCTTGATTTAACTACAGGCGCTATAGCGGTGGTAAGTCAGGAGGACTGATTGGGATTCAAATCCAGTCACTTAGTACCTGTCTGGTCTTGGGCGAGTTACTTAATTTGAACTTAGCTTCCTGATTTACATTTGAGGAATATACATCTCCAGAATGAGGATAATTAATCTTACACCACAATTGTTGTGAGGGTTAGAACGTGAACTCCTTGGCTGGGTACATTTTTTTTCTTTGCAATAAATGATCCACGTGTAAGCACTCAACAAATAACAGTTTCCCTCGCTCCATCCCTTAGTTACTATTTCAGCGTTTTCTGAGGGCTCATCTGCACCGGTTTGCAGCTTATGAGAACCTCTAAGGAGAAGCACTCAGGGTCACAAAGGGGACTGGTAGTGACTTGCACTCATTCATTGGGATAATACTTATCGGGTGCCCGTCATGTGCCAGATGATATGTTAGGTGCCGGGGATAAAACCTCTGCCCTCATGGCGTTGACAGCATAGTCAGGGAGGCAGATGGGCACTGAGCGATCACTTGTACAAATGTAAAACTGCAGCAATGACAGATGGCTTCACAGCACAGGAAGGACGTATGAACAGATCTGACTTGGTCAGAGAGTTCAGGGAAGACTTGCACCTTCCGAGTTGAGATCTGAAAAATAAGTCGACCTGGCCAAGAGAGGAATGAGGAACGTGCTAGGCCAAGGAAGCAGCAGATGCAAAGATCCTGTGGCAGCAGGGAACAGGGCTAGTGAGGTACGCTTGAATAACGGCCAGTGTGGATGGAGCACAGGGTTTTGCGGGGAGTGAGGTGTGAAAGTGACTCTGGTGAGAAGTAGGGCCAGAGCTGGCGGGGCCTCGGAGGCCACCCTGTGTCACTGGGGAACTCTCTTTTTTCTTTAAATTTATTTTATTGAAGTATATTTGATTTGCGATGTTGTTACTTTCTGCTGTACAGCAAAGTGACTCAGTTATACATATATGTACCTTCTTTTTCATATTCTTTTCCATTATGGTTTATCACAGGATATTGAATATAGTTCCCTGTGCTCTCCAGTAGGACCTTGTTGCTTATCCATTTTAAAGGTAAGTGGTCACAATGACTCCAGCATTTGGTTAACTACCATGCACGGGCCTGAACATCTTATAAGTCAGTAACTTATTTACAGCTAATGCAGAATCAGGTGTCAGTTTTATTAGAAACTGGATGGGTTGTCAGGTGTTGACCAGTGGGAGATATCACCAGCTCATCCACATGTACCTCCAGAAACACTGAAACTGGGCAGACAGGCAGCTTGTCCTCCACCCTTGCTGCTCTGGCTGTGTGTCCCAGGGAGGGCAGAGTGGCGTGCCCCCGAGAGATGGAGCTGAAGCATGGGGCGGGGTGGAGAGCTTCGCTTGGGTCCTCCGTAAAACCTTGTGTCTTCTTGCCACCCTGAAGAGCTGAAGGAGATGGAGGTGTAGGTCAGTTCTGTCTAATCTATGACAACCATGTTCTTCTCAGGTCAAAACACTAGTTGTTTTGTGGTTTTGTTTTTGTTGTTGTTGTTTTGGCCTTGCTGCTCGTCTTGTGGGATCTTAGTTCCCTGACCAGGGATTGAACCAGGGCCACACCAGTGAGAGTGCTGAGTCCTAACCACTGGACCTCCAGGCAATTCCCCAAACACTAGTTGTTATCATTAGTTTCATGTCAAATTGGAACAGTCATCAGAACAAAATTCCTTCTGACCTTTGCTTTGCTCCCCTCCCACGGCTCCCTCGGAGGGAGGCTGCTGACAATTCAGACTCACTGTTGAGTTCCATGGGCCTGGCGCTCGGAATCAAAGGTAAGACCTGTGGATTCATGTAGCAGGAGTCCCAGCATGAAGCCACTCTGTGATCACCCTGGGATTCAACGTTTCAGAGCTGCAAGAAGGAGAATGCTGAGGCCACCTGGGAGCTGAGGGCCAAGGAGACAGCCCTGGGGGACCTCGGACTCAGTCAGAAGTTTGGAAGGGGGCCCAGTGCCCAGTGCTCCCCCTAAGTGGGAGCAGAGTTGAGGGAGCCATGTTTGCTTCAGTGTATTTGGGAGACCGGGTTGCATTCAGAAGATGCATCATCACAAAGCCAGCTGGTGCCTGTAGCAGCTCCTTCCCCCAGAGGTGGTGTCTGATAATAGGTTTTTGTGGCCGGCCATTCATTCCAGTGGTCGGAAGGCAGGAGAGGCTCAGGGTAGGTCACCGGCCTCATTGACAGAGGCTGAGCCGAGTGGGAAATCCCAGGAGGATTTCTCACTGTTCTCCCCAAAGACACAGATTCCACGCACGACACTCACATGCCCCATTCACGGGCAGCCGTCTGCGTTGTGCTGAGAGCTATTCTCTGTCCAGAGAGCTGTGGATTACAAGTATTTCGTATTTCAGAATGTTGCTAAATACACTTAAATGCCCCACTAATGATGTTATACCTAAACAGGAGTAAAAAGTTGAGCAAAGTGCCCCCGCGCGCCGAAAAGGAAAAACAATAACCGTAGGATTCTCCATTGCTAGGCACAAAACCAACTTTTTATTGAAGTACGACATCCATACAGAAAAGGGCACAAACCACAAGTGTACAGCTCGAAGAATTTTCACAAACTAGATATGCCCAGGTGACCAGCAACCTGATCAAGGAACAGAAGGTCCGACAATCTCCCTTGTGCCCGTCTGGTTACCATCCCCCCAAGAGTAACTCATATCCCTACTTGCAACAGCAGAGGTGAACTTTGCCGGGTCTGACACTTGATATAAATGGAACCATACAGCACGAACTTGCCTCCTCTCATGAGACTTACGTGGTGCTGTGTGGGTGGCTGCAGGGGCACCCCTTCTCCTTGCTGTGTAGGACTTCACTATGCAAATATACCATAATTTAGCCATTCAACATGGGCATCTGGGTACTTTCCAGTTCAGGGTTATTATGAACAGTGCTTCTGTGAACATTCTAGTACATTTCTTTTGGTGAATATACGTACACATTTCTGTCGGGTACAGGAGTGGAGTTTTTAGGCCATATGATATGTACATTCAACCCAAGCTATTTCACAGAAGAATGAGGAATTTATTGGATGGAGGTTGGCGGCTCACAGAATTGACAGAAAGCTAACCTGGGAAGATGGGTGGGGGCCAAGAAACGAAGCAGAAACGGTCTGCTCAGCACTCTGCCATCCCTGGACACTACTACCAGTGGACTCACCACCCCTGCAGCCTGCCAATCCTAGACACTTGCCCTGCTGGACCACTGCCACCCCTGGACCACCACAGCTCCCATGAAACGAATCTCAGCATCCCTTAATTTCTGTGTCACTTGCACCAAGTTCACAATTCCAAGCATGGGAGTCCAAGGAGTTCACCCTGGGTCACTGGCCGGTCTGGTGCTGGAAAAGGGGATGCACCTGAGAGAGAAGACCTCCCCACTTCGGCAGCCACTGTGCTGGGGGCACTGCATCCCTACATTTATACATAGGGGTGATTTCATGATTTCCCCCTTTAGGAAAAGGGTCAGGTGCTGGACAGCCAAGCTAGAAACACCATATGACAACTGCCCGCTACAGGCAGCTTCATCAGCCCCCGGCGATTGCTAGGGGGCGAGGGGCTCATCCACGTGTTTGCATGTCTCACAGTGCATGTTCATGAACTTGCCTTTAAGGGCAGCAATGAGTTCAGGGATACGTCACAAGGGGCAAGCCACACAACACGCCATAGGTTTGGAAGGAAAAGGTGTAGTAAAAGGACAAAAAGCATCTCATGGAGGGATGCAAGGAAGCGAGGAGGAGAAGGAAAAAGAGGGAAAAAGTGGAGGCAGAATATGGAGGGAGCAGGATAAGTTGGCATTTGGAGAGAAGACATGTGCCCCTGGCCCGCCTGGCTGGTGCACATAAACAGATGTAATGGTGTGACATTTACAGTTAAGCACACTCCAGTATCCACCCAACACCTACATTTGTAGAAGGACCACCTCCAAAGGGATCAATGACAATCAGTGGGAAACAGGGGTCTGGACCCTCCATCAGGGGCTGGGCCACAAGGCCCCAGGATGACCCACGTTTAGAAAACCATCCGATGATGCAGGTTATTTCTTCTTTAAATAGGATGACAGAAAAGCAGGAAATAGAGAACTTCCAGAACTGCTCTCTCCAGGAAGAGATGGAAACTTTACCCATATACTTCAGTTGGTCAAAATGATCTAATTTGACACTGAATGATCACGAATGGGGGACTGTTTTCTCTTCTCAATAAATTATCCACTTCTCAATAAATTATCTCTTCTCAATAAATTATCCACTGAAATGTATACACTTGACCTATGTAAACTTGGGAATTGATGTTAAAAAAATTTAAGCCCTTAAACCCATACTTAGTTTTACTTGGCACATTTGTTATTTGGCTACAAAAATGTCTCTTTCGTTTTCTAATAATGAAAATAACATGAAAATGAAAAGAAAAAGTGAAATAGAATGCAGTGAAGAAAACCAATGAAAAGAGGAGACAGGCCTGGGCAATCCTGGTTGGGTGGGCGTGGGGGTGGGGAGAGCTCCCTAAAGCTATGAGCATGCGCAGTCTCTACAAGGGATTTTACGGACAGAAAAGGAGACGTTTTCATAGCAAACAGAGTCAGAGGATGGTACAAAAGAACTTCTTCTCTCGGAAGGGGTTTTCTGACGCAGGCACTGGAATGATGAGAGGGTCCTCCCGCACGTGAGCTTCACAGTACGCCAGGAGGTCCGCTGCTGCCTGGGAGACCTGGGCGGGGGGACACAGCACAGGTGCAGGGTTAGAGGCTGGTTCACGGTGGGTCCAAGGCAGAGGTGTCCTTCTGGAGAGTGGACAAGCGCAAGGACAGGCTGTGTCACGTGCACCACCAACGGCAAGGCCACTCCGTGGTCTGGAGAGTGGACTTGTGCAAACCCAGAGGAGACAGGTTTTGAAACATGCTTCCAAGGAAATGTGATAGAGAAGAACAAACATGACTCCATATGGGATCTGTTCCTTTAGCTCTAACCCTGTGCTCTGTTTCCTGTGCTTAGTCAGGCTGGCTCTGCACCTTCTGTAAAGAATGTTGCCTGTAGCCCGAAATATACAGGAGAGCCTATTCTCAAAGCTCTGACCTTTAAAGGTAAAACACCTTTCCATTCATATAGAGATAAAATGTTGCAGAACAGAGGACAACAGTTGTCTTGTTGGAGGTTTATAGGAACACTGTGACCTGCCCTATGGGGACAGGTGCAAAAACAAAAGATTCCTACGTGAATAAGTCTGCAACAACCAGCCACACCCCCGCCCCTTTAGTATAAAAGAAGCCTGAATTCTCACTCCAGGGAAGATGGTTCTTGGGGACAGTAGTCCACTGTCTTCTTGGTCTGCTGGCTTTCTGAATAAAGTCACCTTCCATGCCCCAACACCTCATCTCTCGACTTATTGGCCTGCTGTGCATCGAGCAGTACAAGCGCAGGCTAGGTAACACAAAGAGATGTCGCCTGGTGGTAGAGTAGATCAATAGTGAGAGAGGAATGAGGGGCCATCAGGAAGGTCCAGACTGCCTCATCCTCCTCTCAAATGAGGGATAAGTGGAAGCTCCAGGCCAGGAGCCCCACCATTACTCTGCGAAACCATTTCTAGCAGGATAAAGCCGAGTGCTGGATCAAGCCAAGCCAGTATGACTGTAGTTATTATTGTCATTGTTTTACTGCAATCTACTCTCATGACCAACGCAGCCACTTATTCCTCCTCAACAGAACACAGATCATAAGCACATTATATAGAACGCACATATAAGCACATGTTGAACTTGGAATGGCCGCTCCCCTGAGGAGACAGTTGCTCCTGACCAGAACACCCTTTCCATTTTCCTTCCAGGCTTATCGGAAGCCTCCTGACACCTGGCCACTGTGGATCAAACTACCCCCCAGCACAACTCCAGGAGTTCCAGGGGAGGAGTTGCTGGGAGAAGGCCAGGTGCCGAGAAGCATTCGCCAAGAGGAAGCTCATTTTGCCCGTGGTCTATGTCACGTGTCTGGCAAATGAGTGGTCTGTGAATTATCATCCTGCCCCATTAGCTTGTGCTTATTAGAGGCTACAGGCCAGGGTAAGTATATAGCAGGCAAAGTTAATCCTTTTTGTACATTCAATGTCTAAATCTTCTCCAGCATGAAAAAACACTCCACAAGTGAATGAAAAATGTTCGAAAGCCCCAGTATGTACAAGCCATACACCTTCCATCAGGTTTTAAAAACTGGCCCATCTTCCAAAATTTTACAGAAATTCTTCTTCTGATTTCCAGCCCAGACCTACCTATTTTAGCAGTGCCTGGAATCTTACAAAGAATTCCAGAAGAGATATGTAATGAATTTTTCCTTTGAATGAAACAACTAAAAGTTGAGCCGATGAGTCAACCTAAATCCTGACAAAGTCTACATTTGTTGGGAGTGTGGAATGGAGCATCAGGCTTCCCCATTCATCTCTGCCCCCAAGATGCCTGTGTGACCTTGGGTAAGTAACTCAAACTCTCTGAGCTTTAGTTTCTTCATTTGTAAGACTGGGTGAGTTAGAAATCTCCAAGATCCTGTTTACTCTAAACAGTCTGTAATTTGAGCTCTAATAGCACCACAGCAATATTTTAAATCCTAAATAAATGGATGTTGGGTTGAATGAGAATGAAGTTTGCAGTGATTTACAGGACACACATACAGGAATCTCCCAGGTGAGGCCACAAATATAGGCCTGCAGGGGGCCTGTGAAGCCATCACAAGGGACTAGAGCACATGAGCAGGGAAGCTGACTCCGAAGCCCACAAAGCTGTGATGGACACACAAGAGAACCAGAATCACAGAGTGAGCGCGTGGGCATGGAGCTGAGAGATGGCGCTCGGCACACAGCACGCTGACTTCCACCTTCTGATCCAAAGCCAAGTGCTCTCCCCTGACTGCCTTAGTCACGATCCCCTACTCTCCATTCCAGGCTTCTCCCAGGGCCCAGAGAGGCATGGGGTCTTCTCCGTGGCCACCTTGTTAGGGTGACCACGGAAGTCATCCAGTGGCTTCTCTGGCAACCACTGCGAACTGGTCTACACTGCTGCCCAGGCCCGCACACACAAGAGGGCGGCAGTCTTGGGACTTTCTTCCCCTAAGAGCCACCTGTCCTCTTAGCTCTGACTTCAGTGAGCTCTTCCACATGGTTCATTTAAGGATGTCTTAACATCCTCTCTCTAGTTTTCTAGTTTTCATTTTCCCCATCAATTTCGTTTTTTGGGACATGCTTCCATTTGTTCTGAATTCTCTATAAACTTTATCATCTCATCTGGGAAGTATTTACTGAGTGTCCATCTTTTAGCTAATTGAGAGGGCATAGGGGAGAAAATAAGACAGGGTTTTTGTCCTCTAAAGATCTAACTGAGAAGAGCTAAAAAATTATAAAGTCACTAAAATAATCAGTATGTGCTAAAACATCACAGGAGAATAGCTGCACACCACTGCAGGGCCATGAACAAGGGCAGGGAGACAGGGGTGTCTGAGTACCCCATCCACTTCCACACAGGGGCAGTTACCTTGGTCAACCTGCCTCCTTTATCCAGAGGCTGGTCCCAGCCATCTGAACCCAGAAACACGATTTTCTGGCATGCCAAGAATGGCTCATCTCCTGTGGCAGAGACAGCTGTATAAAACCATTAATAAAAACAATAGCTAACATTTACTGAGTGCTTATTATGTGCCAGGCCCTGTGCTAAATGCACCATCCTATGTATGATCTCATTTAATTCTTCTAAGTACTATTCTTTTTTTTTTTTTGCGGTACGCGGGCCTCTCACTGTTGTGGCCTCTCCCGTTGCGGAGCACAGGCTCCGGACGCACAGGCTCAGCGGCCATGGCTCACGGGCCCAGCCGCCCCGCGGCATGCGGGATCTTCCCGGACCAGGCCGTGAACCCATGTCCCCTGCATCGGCAGGCGGACTCTCAACCACTGTGCCACCAGGGAAGCCCCTAAGTACTATTCTTAAAGCCACTTTACAGACGAGGAAACTGATGCAGGAAAGTTAAGAAATTTGCCCAAGGTCATACAACTAGTAAGAGAGAGGACCAGAACTTGAAGCTAAGCAGTCTGGCCCCAGAAGCTAAATGGTGCAGCAGCGGCCTGGTCAACTGCTTATGGAAACTTTAAGGTGGCCTGGAAAGTTCTCGTCTGCTGGGCCAGCACACTCTCCTTGTAGACCAGCTACCTGGGAACTCACGTGACCAGTAGGAAAAGAGTCTTGCAACTAAAGTTTCTTAGGTCATTTGTTTAATCCAGGGACAGTCTTGCCAAGGAAACCCTAACAGGTGAGTGTCCTCAGCTGGGACTGGCTTTCTTCTCTCCCTGTGCCCTGGGGAGTGACTGGATGGACGCTGCCAATGTCACCCTGAGACTCCTCCCTCTAGGCTGTGACCTACATTACACGCTGTTAGAGAATTAAACAAGGACGCTATTACACCGAGTTGGCTCTAATTCCTTAGTAGCCTTCGTAAACTAACCAAAACCAAGAAGCCTGAGAATTTGAGAAAGTGAAACTTAAGACCAATCACAAACAGCCAGCTAGGTCTTCCCACCTGAGACAACCGCTTAAGCTATACCTAACAGCTGCTTTGCTTCAGCATCTTCTCTATAAACACCTTGCCCTGTGCCTGTCGGTGGACGGCTAACTTTGGTTTGGCGTTGCCGGATTCGACTCCACGTAGGCCTAAATAAACTTTTCGAAAATTTTACTGCGCTTCAGTTTACCTATTAACAACACGATCCACCCGGTCCGAAGTTGGCTTGCTAACAACCAATCCCAACATTACAGCTTCCTTCCCCTTGATCAGTTTCCATGTTCAGATCCATCCATCGTGGGTGGATTTGACGAGTGTAACTTCCCGGGAGCAACCGCAAGGGGGCGCTGCATCGCCAACCATCAGGCCAGGACATGGGAGGAGAGGGTTCAGAAAAATGGGGCGTTGGGGGACGCCCGCGGAGGCGAGATGGGGCTGGGTCTCCTTCCGGTCTCACAGCTGTGTATCTGCTCCCCTCCCAGCCCCGTGTCTATGACGCCCTGAAAACCATGTTGTTAATGTCTGGCCTCGCTAGCTCCAAGCAGGTCTAATTTAGGCATTTTTCTGTCACCTCCAAAGGTGACACTACACTTGAAATGCCACAATTTTTCTTTCAAGAAAACAAGCTGTTCTTAGATTGCCTCCTTTTGCTGTTGTTGTTGTTGCTGTTGTTGTTGTTATTTTAGGATCACAGATGTGTTTGCTTAGTTATAACTGCACGCCTCTGGATTGCAGAGTCCTATCCGTGCACCTGTACAACAGGAATGAAGTTGGAATCAAGTCAGTATTAGCGCCCAGCAATTGGCGCCCAGTTTAAGACCAAATGTGTGGGTCTGGGTTAGCTCCACGCAATTTTAGCTTCCTAGATGCACTCAGATTATTGAGAACACTGGACAGTATGGTATACGAGCGTGTAAGTCATCTTACAACAAAAGGGAGTTTTCCACCTTTTTCCACCTTCGCTATCAGCTTTATTTCATGCAGTGCCTAAGGTCCCTTTATTCCTGTATAGCCAAAATATCTTGGATAACCCCTGAAGTTTGTTGTAATGGGATCTGAAAAGATACATACATGTAATGAACACCTTTATAGTTTTTTTTTTTAATATATATATAGGTTTTAAAAAATTATTTATTTATTTATTTTTGAGCGCATTGGGTCTTCGTTGCTGTGCGTGGGCTT